TCGATAGCCCAAAATACAACTTAGATTGTTGGATAAGGTATTCAGCTAAATCGTTTTCCATGCAATCTGGAAGAACCTGCCTATTTCGTTTGTATCCTACTTGAACAGGTGCATGGTTATCTGAAAAAAATATGGCTTTAGACAAGGTTTACATTCAACTAAATAAAATAAGCTTACCTTCAATGTTCCTTTTTCGTTTGCAAAATCTTTATAGCGTCATCCGGTTTATTTGAAACTCAGCAGCCACTGAACGAAGAGATCTATTGTTAATTAACACCTCAACAGATGCCCGTTCAAAAACTTCTAAGGGCGTTTTTCCCCTTTCCGTTTTGCGTTTATACGTTCTCATTATTATTTTTCTATAAAAAAACAATATGAACAGTTAGTGAAAATAACATTAAAAAACCTCGTTAAAAACATTTAGGCATTATTTTTCAAACTCAAGGAGAAATAAGAATTTCACAATAAACATATTATTAAATATTATTTTTATAAAAGTAAGTAGGTACCTATATGTTTTTAGTTAACAATAAAATATTTTAATCGGCGGCAGTTTGATACGGGGCAAGTTGTGACAGTCACAAATTACCCCATGTCGAATGTCACAACCAACCCCCAGACGACATGTTTGTATTTTTTTTGTTTGTTGCCACGAGAAGATTAAAATTAATAAAATACGCAAGAACAGAAGAATGCACATACCTTGATGATTATTTTCGCATAGGAATAGTAACAAATAGGCGTAAGACACCTCGTGTATAAATCTTTGATTGAAGGCTACAATATTTACTTTACACCGCTAGAAACACACTACTACACACAGCAGACGGTGACGTGCAGCCACGGTAACCAAAACTATACTGAAGTGAAGAGAGCGAGACGCTGTTTATTCAACAACTGACCGTACGCTGTTGCCATTGCTACTATGACAGAATTCGCCTCTGTCACAACTTACCCCTGTCACAACCAACCCCGGTCTCCCCTAATTGAAATAATAAAAAATTGTTACTTCAACTCACTGTCCACTTTGAAAACAGTATGGATTTTCTATTTTCGCTCCAACATATACTATATGTGGTGGGGAAATAGACGAACATGATCGAACAACATAATCCGTTTATGTCGCGAAAAATACCTTTAGGTTTTTGACATTTTGTGACAGCTACTGCGGAAAGTAACATATTCGTACACGGGTGGAAAGTAAATTCTTATTTATACGCGTGTGATATAGGGCACTTTCCATAGAACTATATAGTGTGATATGTGTCACTTTCCTAAGTGGTCGTAGGAAATATTAATTTTTTTGCAGTGTTCATACTAGGTAAAATGGATATGAACTATATTCGTTCAGTTGGACGCAATGGCATACTTTTTCGTTTTGTAGTCTGTGCGTAGATTAGCTAATATTCAGTAGGTCTAGGAAAAAAAAATAATAGTAGCGTGGTGACTAAATATAAACTTTGATTGGTGAATTTCATATCCGTACAGTATTCTTACTAGGCTCCATATAAATCATATATTCGTTTAGTAAAATGCAATCGCCTGTAATCTGTGCGTAGAATAGATAATATTCATATGGGTGTAGAATATACATAGCGTCACAGCCCTATGAAATATAACAAGAAATAAATGTGTACTCACGAATTGATATGTTTTTGCCATTTTACAAAAATTGTATTACAGGGCTCTTATTAATTTTATGATTCCTTTTATGACCCACTGTATAAATGGCTAATTTACTTTAGCAATTGTCTCTATCTAACTAATACTAAATACCTATAGCCAAGCACACTTCTGGTGGTAGTAGTTACACAAAAGTTCAATATCTGTTTCTACAGAACAGAGCCACTTTTCCAAAATCTATATATAAATAGGCAAAGACAAAATAGTTCAGTACTATTTTCTCTTCTGTTTGTGAGATGATTTTTCTTTTTTTTAGTTTTGTTTAGTAGCTATTAACGAGCTTTAGTGTTATCAATAAAAAAAATTGGAAATAGTATTTTTCCAACCTTCGATATATGAAATTTATTGATCTACAATAATTATGAATTATGATTGACTAATAAAATTAGCCCATAACGAACATAAGCACACTTTAATTTCGAACCGACCATGTAAAATATTACATGGACGGATAGAGGTTCGCGAAAAACGAAATTACTTCCCCCCACTCCTCCAACTTCCGCACTCTTCTTCTGCCACGCCTAAATGGTAAGGGACAGAAAAAAACTAAAAGCTGGACCGTTAAACCACGCCTGAAACGATTTCAAGCTGCCCAACTTCATCTCACCCCTACTTAACCCCAGGGGAGCTCGATATATAGAACCCCTAAACATGGGAAAATAAACTTCGGGTACGACGGATTGGACTTTGAGACGAAAAAAATTCTACCCCCCAAAGGACAAGTCATTTCACTACCCTCTAAATGTAGGTGGGGGTGAATACGACTACCCCCTAAGTGTAGGTGGGGGTCAGAGTTTTGTCGGATACATGAAAAAAGTATCTATAGTACCGGATACGGATACTTACAATGTATCTGGATACTTTTTAGGATACTTTCATCTGAAAAGTACTGGGATACAAGTATCCGGATACTTTTTTCGGATACTTTGAACGATACTTTTACGAATACTTTTAAAGTGAGTTAAAATAATGTTTTCATACCAATAATTATAATTATGCAATAAGATTGATTACGAATAACAATAAACAATATGTTATTTTTATTCTCGACTACATTTTAAGAACTAATAATGTAATTAGACATTTAACAAAACAAAAAATACGAGGTACCTACACCTACTTACCTTTGCGTATAGTTAGACACTAAAACTCTGTATACTGGGTGAATCCTCGAATTCATCCTTGGCTACGAGACATTTTTTTTGGGTTATTTTAAATTTTACAGAGAGCACCAAACAAAACTAAAAATCATAAGAAAAATTATTTTACTATTTTTATTTAAGTAGGTACCTATTGCAATTGTGTCTTAAACATTGTAAAATTGAAAAGTACGTATTTTATTTCTAATTATACAGGGTAGCTCAAACTATTTTAATTATATATTTTAATAGAGATAATATGGATTGGATCAGTTTCGATTGTGGTAAATAATTTAAAAGTATCCGAATGCCGAAAAAAGTATCCGGTATCCGGATACTTACAAATTTGGTCACGGATACGGATACCGGATACAAAATTTGAAAAGTATCCGGATACAGCCTTCGTATACACATAAACTATCCGGATACTACCCAACTCTGGTGGGGGTAGAACATTTTTTCATACTTCGAGTATTTTAAGATATTGGTTGTATAGATAATTAAATAATTATAAAAATTTGAAGAGTAGGCCGACCTCCTTCCACCCACCTTTTTTTTTATACCTTTTCTGGACTGTTAATGATTTTATTTTCGATATGGTACATGACAGGGTGCAAGCTGAGGTCGGATAAAGTAGAGCGATGGGGGTTACACACACACGCACACGCACACACACCCCAACCCCCCTTTTTTAGGGGCCTCAAGTGTAACCTCAAAATAAAAATTGTGTTTCAAATCATATCAATAAATGAGGGTTTTTAAATTGTGAGTTACTGTTATTTTATTGTATTTATTTTTTATTTAATTATAATGGTACTGAACCATGTTGCATCGTAAGTACACACATAAGTTTATGGTCGCAGATATACAATGAACGAATGCATAAGAATACAAAAAAATTAGAAACATACAAATGCATGTTTTCTTCAAATTTTTAATAATGATTATTGTCGAATTTTTGATTAAATTTTTATAAAAAAAAATCGTAAGCCTTTGAACATTTTAACGATTTTTCCATTTTCTCTAAATAAAATTTAGAAAAAAAAGTGGTTCCAGCGAAACACAGACATGTACAAAGGTATTTTTTCTTCTACTAATAATTGACAAATGTGAATAATATTATAATAAAATTAAACATAAGTTTGTTTAGTTATAATATGAAATAAAAAAAGGAACAAAAAGCGATTATACAGAAACTTGAAGCCACGGCCCCTTACTTTAGAAGTCAACGCATTATCTACAAACCACATTGGATAGATGCTTTTATTTGCATGACGGTATAGTAACGATAGGAAAGCCAAAGTTTACAAAGTTAATTTTATTAACACTAATTTTCTGCAGAAACTGCAGAATGAATATGTAACAATTCTAATGAACGGATATAAACTTATATTTATTCTAAAATGTATATGAAATCCACCAAATGTTAAGAAGCCCGCTAAATAAATATTTTAAACCGATAGCAACGAGAATTTTTTCTTGAAATCATTTGTAAAATTGTTATTTTATGCATTTCTGTTAGATAAACCATGTTTTTAACATATAGTTAATAAATGCAAATGATACGTACCTACAGCACTGACAGAAATTAATGTCATGCGGTTACAATCACACAGCAAGTTGCTAAGGCGGAACGGTGGTTCGTGTCTTAAGTCTAAATAGGTTATGTTTAAATTGCCGCCTTAAAATCTAAAAATATTACGTGACAAAAAAATGCATTACCCACAAAAAGGGTATATTTTTTAAATATATTTTCTACATGTGTCTATGGTATAAAGTATAACAATTGATTAAATGTTAATTGGAAAACCAAATTCAGTTATTCTTTACACCATAAACACACGTAGAAAATTATTACAAAATATACACTTTAAATGGATGATGAGTTTTTTTGGCACTTTTATTTAATTAAAAAAAAATTCTTTGTTTTTATTTTGTCTTTGATACATTGCACAATATGGGGTTTGTAGACAAAGTATAGTGTTCTATTTTTCGAAAATCATTTTTCCTTACTCGTAAAACAATATAGTATTCTAACTCTGCTGTTTTCCTTTGAATATAGTCCAATGCTTATTGTGGTATTAGCCAATGGAGTAGTTTTGCAGGGGGAAAAGGTCGGTTGAATTATTTTCTGACGAGTGGCTAGGAATTTGGCATTATTTTCTTTTTTTTTTTTAGTTGGAATAGACCGTAACTGCAAAGTACTGTTTTCAAATGAAAATAAATTCGGCGATGGCCCAAATAGTCCAAAGATCGTTGAAAAAAATCCCGGAAATAAGGAATCGTCTTATATTCAGACGTTTCTAGATATTTATATGAAGATTAAAAAGGTATGTAAAATTATAGAAATGTCAACTCGCCAGTTGATTTTTTATTCGATGTATTCGCATATTCTCCATGGGTTTCTTAAATCCTCCAGTGTTTTCCCATTTATACGATTTTAATAGTGTTGACTTTCTCTTCCTTTTTGGTTAGTTATGTTATCTTGTTATGGGGTGTCAGATATACACTACGACCTAAAAGATATCGTGTCTTCATATCGCTAAGGCGGCAAGGAAATAGTATCGACGCCTATATAGTTAAATCTGGAAAAAAATAATAATGAACTGTCAGGACTATATGAAGAATGGTGACAAAGTTGTCATATTCAATAAAGAACATACTTTCAATTGTCAGTAACCTCCGAAAATCTCACCGAACTTTGACACAATCACAGATTACAGAATTCTTCTCACTTTCCATTACTGTCGTTCCAAGGGAGCTTAGATTTTGGAATAGCTCCAAACTGTGCAGATCCCCATCTTCTACCTGGTATGCTCCCAAGTATAGCGCCATAGGATCATGTAGTACTACCCAATTCGTCAGAATGTGAATCGAGGTTTCCTCTTCTTCCTCACTATCTTCTACTAATTCAAGTTTACTAAGATGTTCTTTGAGTTGGCAATACCCTGTAAAGAGTCTTCGTTACTATGAGTAGCTGGTTCATGCTCAAACAGATACAGGCCTTCGGTCTTTTTGGTTATAGTCGCATAGAAATATCTTAGCCAATCTTAGTTACAATTGTCGGTTCTTTTACTGCTAAATTCTTTTTTAATAATATCTCCTATTTTTGTATTATACACAGCGAGTGTTTGAGTCCCTTTCCTTGCGACAATATCTGCAAACTCGTTACCCCTTCACTCCGATGTGTCTCAATACCCAAGTGATAGTAACTGTATTTTTCTCTTTAGTCCAGTTTCTCTAGGGACCATCAGACTATTGATGGCTGCTTTGCTATCGGAAATTTTGATAATCTTTCGCTTGCCATAGTAATTATCGATGTTGAACAGGTGTGGACTTCCGCCTGGAAGATTCTTGATTAGTCATTATAACGATAATCCATTTTCAGCCAATCAAACAGAAAAAGGGCGAAAAAAATCCAAAAATGCCTTCGAAAGAAATCGACAATAATATTCAATTAAAAAAACAACCCGATAATAAAAAAATGTTTATGGAATATCCGGAGAATCAAATAAAAATGTTGTACGATCAATTGATTAATAATAAACCGGATAATTCCAAAAATGAGGAGAACAATAAGGAAAAACTATCTTTACCGAAAAATCTAACAGACACCGAATTAGATGACATACTGGAAGATCACAAAATAATTACGGCGTACAAAAATGCTGAAATATCGGGTAAATTGGACAATGAAAAAGCAGCAGAGGGATTTTATAACTTATCTAATAGCAGCGTTGGAGATAATTTCGAAGCAGAGGAGGAAATCGTTTATTCTAATAACGATGTTCAAGATTACGAAGAGATCATCGATTGTAATGACGACAGGAAAGATTACGAGGGCGCTACTGTGGCCGTTGAATCGAATAACGTTGAAGAGGATGTCGATAAGTGTGAGGAAAATGGTAAAAATAGCGGAAAAGATGACTGTGGTGGAAATGTTAACGTCGAGTTAACAGATATTTTACCAGAAGTAAGAATTTTGATATTTGTACCAATCTTAGCATAAGTAAAGCTGGCTTCGCGGTAGAGCTCTCCACATTCGCACATTACGTCAGAACCTAGTGTTGCCAGTTGCAGTTTTACTGTTTTAACACTAACAATACTGTTTTTATCACTTTTCTCTGTTTTGATTTTAAAATCTACTGTTTCCAATAAATAATTAAAAAATAACTATATTATTCCAATTATTAAATAATTTTTTTAATGCGCTATTTTCGCAAATAATTAACGATTTGAATGTGCCTCATAATGACAAAGACATCACAGTTATGTTATCAGAACTTGGTTCAAATTGATTATTTTTTTTTATGGAATATTTATGTTAATTTTTATCAAGCGAAAATAAAAATCTCTAAATCAGTAAAGATAGAAATACCCCAAGTCCTCTGACAAAAGAGTATCGCATTTTTAGTTACAGTATGCACGTGTCTTCTTATTTCAGTTGCGCTTTATTGTTGCTTAGCAGCGTAAACTTTATTAAGGTGAGTTTAAACGAATACAAGAAGTCACTTTGAAAAAAATAAGATTACGTTTTATATTTTGTCTACAAATACTAGAACAATTTTTAAAGATAATCCAAAACAGGTGCAAATTCGTAAAACACATTCTTTGTTAAAAAATATATTATAACAAGAGGCGCAGAAAATATTTATTGGATAACTCATAATTTTTTTTAATCAATATCATTTTCTTCACAACTGGATTCTGATTCAGACTCATCACTACTTGGCCGTTGAATAGATTTCAAAGTAAAATTTTGTAATTAATACCACAAGATGGTTTTCATGAATCTTATTTCAGAGATAACTTTGTAAAGTATACTACCACATGTTGTTAATCGACGTGTTTATTTCTTATTTGCATTTAAATTTATATTATCATAGAATAAACAATATACAATAATAATTAATATTATTTAAATGTACATTAGAAAAATATTATTATTCGATTTTCGAACCCAGTTCAATGTTTTGAAATGATTTTAAAATAACAATTCAGCATTTTTGTTATTACGATATACATTGAACTTGAAATGAAATTGGAATAGTTTATAGTACCTGCATATAAAAATAAACATTTTAATTAAATAGAATTTATTTCATATACAGGATGTTAATTTAGTATGTGAATATGAAGAAAAATGTTCAAATCTGAACAGCCGTTGTACCTAAATAATTAATAATAATTGGTTGTAGATCAGAAACATCTAATTGCTTGTATTTTTCTCAATCGGAAACAATTACGTTTTTAGTGTGTTTTACATAATTGTCCCACGGAGTATCAATAACATTATTCAAAGCTGCTGACCAAGTCTGAAATACATCTTCCGGTGACGACTTTTTTGTTAAATTTTTTTCGTTTTAAAACCGTTTGCACTGTGACCACACCATCGCTATCGCTTTGTACTGGCAGTGATATGGAGGAGTTCTTAATATTTTATGCCCATATTCCTCAACATATCTATCTATCTAGGTGGACTTCTTTTCGTGGTAGAATTTGACATACAACTTCCCAAATCTGATATTTCATAACATTGATTGGATAATTAATGTTCTTTTCCTGCAACCATTTTATCATTTTATCTTTTGTCCAACTATAACATGGAATCGATTCCACGTACCACCAATGATAACTGGCATTATCGATTATAATCAAAGAAGGATGTTCCAGACTAGGTATAAATTTCGTTTTAAACTATTTTTCAAAATTTTCTGTGTTTATATTATTATGGTAATCCCCGCTTTTTGTTTGACTTTTAAATATGAGTGCTGCATTTTCTATAAACCCTTTCTCATTGTCACCATGGACAATTATGTATCGAATTCCATCTCCTGCTTTTTACTTGCAGTAGCCATCGTTCCATCTTGCCAACTTTTTCCGTCACTTCCCTTGCTATATACTCACGTCTCATCTATAAATACAGGCTTAAAGTTACCTAGCTCTATCTCCTTGTTAAAATTTTTCAAAAACTAATTTTTTTTAACTGAATCGATGTTTGTTCCAATAAAAACTGTCTGTTGTATGTATTAATTGACCGAAAGCCATCTTCAGGCCTTAAACAATTAACTCAAACTTGCAGCTTAGGATCAGGTCGATGATCATCACAAGTAGTACCTAGTTAAAACAACCATACCACCGAAACATGATGGTAGGTAGCTCACTTTTAAATCTTTACATTTCTTCAGTACCAGCAACCTCTTTTGAAGTATTTGTCTTATGTTAGATTGTTCGAATTCTTTGAACCAATATTTTGTCGAGGAATTCCCGGAAAATAAACGAATGGGCAGTGATAGACCTACATCGCCTGCCGGATACCTGCTGGGTTTTTAGACGGGGTAGAGAGGAACAGATTCTACTCGAGTAATTCTACTAGCCTTATTTATATACGATGCTATTACTAAATCTAAGATTTGATAAATATTTCATAGGAACTGGAAGAAATCTTTAATTGCAGCAGTCCGATGTTTTCTGATTCGGAAACATGCGTAACTAAAAACGTAAATGAGAATGAAGAAACCGGGAACGTTGTCGAAGAGAAGGAGAAATTGGATCTGAATGCACTGACTAAAACCGATCCTGTTTTATTTTCGATTGCGCAAAAATATTTGACTGATGTAGATAGCGAAGAGAGAAGTATTATTAGTAAACCGTCAAAACAAGGCGCGACGCATAATAATACTTTGAAAAACATCTTGAATTTTAGAGGGAAGAGAAAACGGAAATCAGACGAACTTCATCCAACCGAGGAACTGGAAGAATATATCCATGTGAGTATTTTTTCTTTTTTTTTCTGTCGCAAAAAGGTTTCAAATTTTACCATCTTTTTCAATACTCAACTATATAATTTTTTTTTATTGGTACCCTATTTTACTTATTTAAAGTACGCCTCAGCGTGTTTAAAACGAACTTTAAAAAACGCGCGTGTTTTAAAGTTACCATGGCAACAACCCGAGAAACGTGATGTCTAATGCCAACTTTTTAAATATTGATCTGACAGGAGTGCCTTGTAATGTCAAATAAAATATTTCTGAGAAATATTTTAAAAAATGTATTCAAAATAAATACGTAATGTCCGGTGCATCTGTAAAAAATTTCCGCAAATCGTCTTACTCGAATACATATGCCTTCTTGACTACCTCATTTTTGCTAATTGCCTTCATGAATGACAAACGATTTTATATCGATCCCTTTGTTTATCCTCAACATACTTTGTAATTTTGAATGGATAGTCCACATAGTCGATACTTTATACTATTATACTATTATTTAAATACTCAATATTATTTGAACTCATTTTAAACAATAACAACTGTTGCGACAATTAGGCATTCCAAACTGAATGGCTACCAGTGAGTTTTGACAGGTTATGATATGGCAAAATTATGGCAACCCTGTAGGCCTGGTTATTTGACAAGGTCAATGAAATAGATAGTTACATAGATTGATCATCCATATTTTTCAAAATAAACATAAGCTTATGCCTTGAAGTAAAAATGTAAGCAATTATTTTTTTTACATATCTAAAGGCTAAAAATTGGTTTTAAAACACATTTTTGCTAAACCGATTCAAATTAATATATATTTGCCAGACAATATGGCCGCTCGTAAACGACCAGCTTTGAGCAATCTATATAACTATATATGTATCATTGACCCTGTTAATTTTCAACATGACAACAGGGTTGCCATATCTAAACTGTCATTACCCACTGGTAGCCATTTGGACAGGTCGTTGGAATGCCTAATTAATCTTACGTGACAGATTGAAAATAAATTTTTGTATGTCTCATTTTCATGACAACGAGGTATATTGATGTTACATCACAAATTCAACCATTTTCAGTTATTAGTTCTTATTTCCATTTTTTTGTAGAAATATTACCAATATTTAGGATTTCAAAGTATACCAATAAAAAAAAAATAGCGTAAAGTATTCGTGGATAACTGGTCTTTAAAACACTTGCTCTACTTCGAGCACTCCGGCTGCGCCGTCGTGCTCGAAAAATCGCGCGTGTTTTAAAGACCGTTATATCCACTTATACTTTAATATACTATTTTAAACATCTGACTTTGTTTCCATTGTAACTACTAACAATAATCTTCTCATTTTAATTTGCAAAGTAAGACATTTTAGTGCCTCTCCTATCATTTATAATTCTAATGAAGATGCAAGTTGATTGTAATGTTTTATTTTCACTTTGAAACGTTTCAACATCCCACCGTAATATAATTAAGCATAGTCAACATTTGACTTTGAGCATTTGATTTTTAAATTATATTTTTAGTAACGGAAAGTTTCAATTTAACTTCCCCTCGTGACAGTATAAATTTATTAATTAAGGAGTTGTTTATTTGGCTGTGGTCGGTTGACATTTCACTTCTAAAATTTTTTATTTATCATAAAAGTGACAGTTCGATGAAAATAGCGTTAAGCAGGTAATTCGTCTGCAGTTTATAATTGGTAGCGGTAATAAAAGTGTCGAACATAGCTGATATATTCGACATATTAAGAAACTACTAAAGGGTAATCCAATAGATATATTTCAGGCATACCTTTGCTCCCCCTGAGGGGTTCCGGCAGGCTCCCCAATCAGGCTTGGCTGCAGCCACTGGCTCTCCTCAATCAGATTTGGGGCCCAGTCTGTCTTTCCCTCCTCCTCCTCCATAGCTTATTGTATAATTTGGATGCCCTACCCCTTCCCATTCAATCATTCTACCCATACATTTCACCATCTAAATGGACTCACTCACACCGTGGCTGGGCCATCACTGCTGCTTCTGTGATCCATGGGCGGCTCCAGGTCAAATTTTCGGATGAGCCCTTAGATTGAAGAGACCGAAGATGTAACATTGAAGAGACCGAAGATGTAACATTGCACACTGCGCATGTTGTCTATTTTAACCCAAAGTAACCCACTAATTGGAAATCATTGTTTGCACGACGTCACCCGAATTGCTTCGATTTTTCCATTTAACGCTCACCTCCGCCTGAGTTCAATCACCATTGACGGCTGTTTGATTTATTTGTTGGTATTTTAGCAATTTAAAGTATTCTAGTTATTCAATTTCAAGTTCAAAATGCCACGATGTATCTTGAAAAATTGTATATACTTACAATACACGTACCAATGTTATGAAAGATAAAAAAAAATATTCGTTTTCAGTGGTAAATATTTATTAACGTTTTGACATAAAGCGCCATGATTCTTTGGGCTAAATACTTCAGATCCGCATAAAGGGGTTTCAATAAAGATTAAGCATCAAATACATATTTCAGAAATCAGATTTCATATTACTTACATAAATTTACAAAGGGGTAAAAATTTTGAACATTTAATTAAAATAAGAAGTAAATAGACATTGTTGCTAACGAAATTTTGTATTTAAAAAGTAGTTTTATAAGAATGTTTACTAAAAGTGGTTTTTAGCCCTTTTTGGTAGACAAATAAGAAGTAAAGCATAGTTGCTAGCTAAATTTTATTTTTATAAGGTATTTTTATAAGAATATTAGATGAAATACAGAATGACCTACTTAAAATTTCAAGGTTCATCTTATTTGCGGTCAAAGTCTTAAAACAAAGTAAAATGCACAATATGATCTAGTATAAGCAAAAAAAAAATACTAAAATTACGGGAATTAGTCACATTGTTAATAAAATGTTACATTACAGATCCCTAAACAACTCGAACAAAATTTTCGTTTACTAAAAAATCCAAATTTTAGCAATATTTATTATACAATCGAATGCGGTTTCAAAGATAACGGGATCAAAAATCCGAATCTCTAAATTTTGGAGCTAAATGCTCGGATAAAAGCAAGCGACCGATAGGGGTTACAAAAATAATCGACTTATCAATTATTCTGATATTTTTTTATGAAAATCGATTATCCGTTATTTTTAATAAATTATTATCGTTTTTTTAAGATAATGTTACAATCGATTTTAAAGAAAATACAAAAAGAAAGTAGATTTATTCAAAATAATTGATCGATTGAAAAAATCGATTTTTTTTGAAAAATCTATTTATTGTTTAATCGGTTTTTTTAATTAATCGATTATTTTCAATTTTTCAAAGGTATTATATGACAATAATCGATTGATCGAATATAATCGGTTATTTTATATAACTAAATATGAAAAAAAGGATTAAGTATTAGAAAATAATCGATAAATCGGTTATTTTTTGGAAAATCGATTTATCGTAGAATCGGCTTCTTAATTCATTGGTTATTTTCGATTTGGCGATTATTTTGGAATAATCGATTATTTTCGGTATTTCACAGATAATCGAATTATCGATTTTAAAGAAAAAAATATAATGTTCAACTAACAAAGTTTTATTTGCAGTATCCGCCTGCGCACATGGTTTTTTTTATAATACTCGTAGACAATGAGTACTATTTCTTGCTCTATTAACAATATTCTAGTTCAACATTTTACTGTAGTCTCTTGCAGAAAAATCCGTATTAAATAAACGCTAACGAAATATTCTATAAAAGGTCTTCTCTTTACATAAAATGTCGTGGCATCTGTTTGATATTAAAAAATAACGTTAATTTTATTTCATAATAAAAAAATCCAATAAAAATCTTTTAAATAAATCTAATAGTTCAATATGATGCTAATAAACAAAATCCGGTCCCTGTTACAGAGTTCGGATCGCCGCCCAGTCCCCCACTCCGTTAACCTTTCCTTAGAAATTGGCAACATTTGCGCAGGTTAAACACCGATGTATGTAATATCTCTTGTCTCTTTTATCTGAGGATGAACCATTGCCGCATATTTTTTTTTTATAAGATGGTCATGGGTTCAAAACATTTTATTCTCGGGGGGGAGTATGGCCCCCTCCCTGGAGCCGCCTTTATTGTGTTCCGTGTTTTGAAAAACTTTCGCAGCAACCAGGCCCAACAGAATATAATTTGCAATCTTAAATTTTTCTTCAATACTATTTTTTATTCCTTTCAGGGTAAGGTTAGTGGTAAACGGTTTTAATTTTAAAATATTTAAAATGTAACAACAATATTCTTTTTCTTTTAATTTCCAAAACAAGACATTTTAATGCCCCTCCTATAATTATATATTTTTAATTTTGATTGTATATTCACTTTGGAACATTTCAACATCCCCTCGTAACATAATTAAACTTAGTCAACAGTTGGCTATAAACACTTTAAACACTTTAAATTCCATTTCTAGTAACGGAAAATTACATTTTAACTTCCCCTCGTAACAGTAAAACTTTATTCATTTAGGGGTTGTCTAGTTGGCTCTGATCGGTTGACGTTTCCCTTCTAGAAATTTTGATTTTTCATAAAAGTGACAATTCCGGGATGAAAATAGCGTTAAGCAAGTAATTAGTTTGCACTTTGCGAAGCGTTTGATTGGTAATTAATTATAATTGAAAGGTAATAAAAGTGACAAACATGGCTGATATATTCCAGATGTTAAAAAACTACGAAAGGGTAATGTCGTTTTTTTTATCCATTAGTTAGATATCGGTATAATTGTGGCGTAAATTTTTCTTTATTATTATTTATTCCTTTCAGGAAAAGGTTAGTAGGAAATGGTTTTAATTTTAAAATAAACAACTGAAATGTAATTGAATGGTAGATAAGTAAATTTTCTATGTTTTAAATCAATAAGTATAATTGAAATAGATTTTGCTAATGTTTATTTTGGTTCATTTTAACACTATAGGTGTACTTTATAAATTTAATGTAATATGCCAAAATGTTTGTTCTACGAGCTGTTTCGATTTGCTGAATGAGAGAATGTTTTTCCGGCAGAAAGAAGAGCACGAAAAGAAAAGCTTTTTAAATACGTTCAGGAAACCGACGAAAAAGAAATTATCAAATGATAGCCAAGTTGATAATTTTCCCGAATCGACGATCACAGGTCCGGCTTATAAGATAACGGAAATATTAGAACCGAATTCGCGCCGGTCGGCGAAAAATTCCAATTTCAATAATTTGGAGAATCAGAAAAGCATTAAATGGCGATCGCCCTTGGTATTTTCTCCGGGCATGAAATTTTCTCCGAAGATCAATCACAAGAATATGTTCGGTGCTAATAAAGCCGAATTCGAATACCAAAATGAAAGGTGAGTAAAATTGGAATATTCTTTTATTAGGTACAATTGGTAGATTTTGATTTTTTAGCTGGGCTTATCTTTCTTTTTTGTACGTTAGGCTCGCGTTAATACATAGAAATTAGGAAGAAATGTGGCTATTCTTCGGAAAAATTGGCAGAAAAGTAATTTTTACAGTGATTATTTTTTCATCTGTCGAAATAGTCAAATCTCCTGATTTTAGCCAATTGGAGTTAGCGATCCTAACCAATCACTGCGTTTTATACTGATAAAACCGCTAGCTTCTTCGTTCGTTGTTTTCTTCATAAAACTCTGTTTACCTTTTGAACCAACAACTAAACATAAATCAAGTACATGACCATTAAAGGAAATTATATTACTATAAAATAAATATATAAATATTTATAGTGTGTTTAATGAAAACTTTTAGAAACTATTAGATTATTACCTACTCCAAATATGTTTATTGCCTTTTTTATACAAAATTATTCAAAAAATGTTTTCAAATACCACTCGTCCTCTTAAATTTCAGGAAACCCCACTCAAACAAACCGATTTAAGATAAAATCCATCGCCCGGTGAACTCGTGATTTTATCAATCGATTTGTTTTCGTGGTTTTTCAAAATAAAGGCTTTTTCGTGGAAATTCAAAATGATAAAATTTGGAGGACCTTTGAAAAAAAGGGTCCGTAATCCCTCATTAATTCACTGGTCTGCATAAAAATCACCCCTGACACCATTCCTGCTGATTCTTATGTAAAATAACCTCCTGAATCCACATATAACTTCTGGTGTCACCAATCACCCACCGTTTTCGGGGGAGCCCCCTCCCACATATTTTTATCTTTTCTATAATTTGGAGGTATGAAAAACATTATTTTAGCATTTACATTTATTCTTCTGAGAGGCTAGAGAGATAAAAAGTTCTAGATCATGAACATTTGTAGCAAGGTGATTTGGGAGAAAATTTTCTCGCTTGAATTAAAAAATGATCGATTTTTCCGGCTTTTCACAATTTTTTCACTTATTTCTTATAAAATCCAGCTTCCAGCGCCCCTCATCCGACACCAAATAATAAAAATATATAGCAACAGCTCGGAAAATTACAGTGCAGGACTATAGTGACAAGAGGAATGCCAAAACCTGAAAATTCCGATGCACACCTGTGAGCACGAGGTGTTGAGAACACCAGCGAATTCTGCGAACTGTTTGTATATATTTTTATTATTGTTGCTATATTATTTTTATTATCGGGGGTATTTGGAAGCGGATAAGGAAAACTGAAAGCTGGAATATATTTGCGGAGGTGATGTTAATATCGACTTATTAAATGGGTCTTCGAACAATGCAGTGCATTTTATTAACTGTGCAGAGTTATTTAATTTACAGCAAATTATAACTGAACCAACACGGATAACAGCTACTATAGTGAAACTCTGATCGATGTCATATTAATATCAAATCAATATAACTCTTTTAATCACGGTAATAAGGAGCTATATATATCTTCAGATCATCAATTTATTTATTGTATATTGAATTTCGAAGTTAGTAATTGTGAGAAAGTTATTTATACTAGGGATATAAAAAATATTGATAAAAATTTACTACAAAACTTTTTAAATATGGCTCCCTTTGAAGAAATTTTTTGGCTGGATAACCTAAATGATAAAGTCTCTCATTTTAACAATCTGCTGATTAATATATTTGATACACTTGCTCCTGTAAAAGAAAGAAAATTTAAAAAATGTAATCCTCCGTGGCTCACAGATAATATAAAATTAATGATAAAATTAAGAGACAAGGCACTTTTAAAAAAACAAAAAATCCAGCTCATTATCAATATTACAAGGATTTAAAAAAACTATACTACCACGGCTATTAAAAACGAAAAAAAAAAAAGGTTACTTTAAATATTGTGTTGATACACTTGGTCGAAATAGTAGGGTAATGTGGCAAAAAGTAAGAAGCATGAACATATGTTCAAAACCTGTTAAAAGTGAATTACCCGCAAATTTAAATCATCCCAATGAAATAAATGATTATTTTATATCGGCAACTTGCAATCAAAACCCCGCTGATCAGGACTTGCTCCTTTTTTATAATAACAACTCTAAAGTAAATTTTCAGGAGCCGCTCAGTTTCACAGCCGTTAATCAATGTATTGTTTATAAATATTTACTGGAAATTAAAACTCAAGCGATGGAGTTGACAATTTGCAAATGTCTATGATTCTGCTGTGTTGTCCACATATTCTAATTTTTATAACTCACATTACTTGCTTGGAGCTATCTGTTTTCCCAGAAAACTGGAAAATATCAAAAGTGCTTCCATTGCCAAAAAATCTAATATAAGTAGTATTAATGAACTAAGGCCTATTTCAATTTTACCGGTTTTATCAAAAGTATTAGAAAAAATTGTTAAATATCAAACTGAGTTGCACATTAAAAATTATAATATCTTACCAATTACCAATTGGTTTTAGGCGTGGTTATAGTTGTACAACTGCCTTATTGGAGGTTACAGATGATATTTTTAATGATATAGACAAGGGAAATACAGATATTGTTGGATTATACAAAAGCATTTGATACCATTAACCACAAATTACTTTATAGCATTCTACATTATGTAGGGTTTTCTAATAAAGCTATTAAATTTTTTAAAAATTATTTATCAAACCGTGTTCAATTTGTTGAAACAAATTCTGGAAAATCAAATATAAAAAATATCACATGTGGTGTGCCTCAAGGATCTGTATTAGGTCCGGTTTTGTTCAGCATTTATTTTATTTATGACAGGATTAATTACAGTAATAACATGATTAATTACAACAATAAACAAATTATAAATTAATCATAGGTAAATAAGTTAGCACCTAGGTGTGGGCACCTGTATGTGCTAGACAGACTAAAAAACTAATACATAAAGATTAAAAAACTAAAATATAAAGTTAATGTATTTTTATATAAATGTTAAATGTAATAAGGCAGCAATGTTATATTATATAATATGTAATAATGTTATAATCTTGTAATCTACAGGGTTCCAACATATTACAGTGAGATGTGTGTTATTGCACGCTTTCTTAAATAAATGTTGTTTGTTAATTAATTTGATCTCAGGAGGTAAAGCATTGTAACACTTTGGTCCTAAGTAATTTATACAATTTTTGAAAGATTCACTATTAGGCATAGATATTTTAATATTCAAGTTACTAAAAGTTCTGGTTTTATGTTGATGACCCAGAGGTTTTTTTAGTACCTCATGTTTTTGTATGTAACAGCATATTGTGTTCATGTATAAACTTCTAACATTAGATATTGTTTCATTATATAGTAGAATAGTAGGATATAATCGCTGTTTGTTGAAAATAATTTTCAGTATTTTATTTTGTATGACATTTAGTGGTCTAAGGGTTGTTTCATATAGGCCTCCCCATACTAGTATACCATAACGTAGAATAGATTCTACCAAGCTAAAATATAGGCTTATTAAGAGATTTTGGTTAAGAAATTGTTTTAAAAGATAAAATTTATAGATTATAAATCTAAGCTTTTTTGATATATATGCTATATGAGAGTCCCATTTTAGATGTTGGTCTATAATTATACCCAAGTATTTAGAAGTTTCTATTTCTTGTATTTTAGAGTCCAAATTACTGGTAACTATTTCTTTAAAATGAGGGCGATCAGCTAATGTTTTAAAGAATGCTATATAGTTCGTTTTTTTGATATTTAAAGATAATTTAAAAACGCCTAACCAGTTTTTTACATGTTCAATTCCTTGTATGGCTTGCATTTTTGTAGATTCCCAATCTTTACTACTGAAGACGAGCACAGTATCGTCTGCATAAGAAATTACTTTACCTTGAATGTCAATCTCAGTCAAGCCTTTGATGTATAAGTTAAATAATATTGGCCCTAAGACAGTACCTTGAGGTATACCAATTTGATTATATTCAGGATTACTAAGACTATCTCTTATTTTAACTTGTTGTTCCCTCTGAGTCAGATAGCTTTCAAAGACTTTCCAAGCAGTGCCTCTTATCCCATTCTTTTCAAGTACATCGAGAAGTTTTTGGTGTGGCACTGTGTCAAAAGCCTTTGCTAAATCCAAAAAGGTGGCGATACATTTTTTATTGTTGTTCATTTCTTCAGCTACATGAGATATTAGTGCATGCATAGCATCACTCGAATTAAGATCCTCTGTAAAACCATATTGATGCTGAGGAAGCAGATTGTTAATTGTTAAGTATTCAATGAGTCTCTCTTTCAAACATTTCTCAAATATTTTTGCGATATTACTAATTAAACTGATTGGCCTGTAATTGCCTATTAAGTTTGGGTTACCGGTTTTATAGATCGGGGTTATAATGGATTTTTTAAAATGTTTAGGTACAATCCCTGTACAGAATATTGTATTAATTATATGTTTTAAGGGAGTTACAATGAACGGATGTAATAGTTTTATGTGTTTTACTGATACACAATCAAATACAGGGGTACTGTTGTTGTTTAGGCTATTTATATATCTAATTGTATCATTGTCACAAATAGGTTTTAAAAATATTGACTTAGTTATCATCGTTTGTACAGGGTAATTTATTTTACAATCACGAATGGTTTCATACATTTTTGTACCAATAGAGGTAAAATATTTATTACAATAGTTCGCCATTTCTTTGTCAGTATTGAAATCTTTATTCCCATCATCAACAATTACCAAGTGGTTTTGACTTTTTTTACAGCTGTCATTTGTAGCTTCTGAAATTATCTGGTAGGTTTTTTTAAAGTTATTCTTGTGTTTATTTATTTCATTTTTATAGTAATCATTTTTTGTTTTCAATATTAATTTATTTAAATTGTTTCTAAAAATTTTATATTCATTTTCTTTATTAATGGAGTGCTTTTTTTGTAATTGCTTTTTTAGTTTATCTCTGTTTTTAATGGAATTGATTAAGCCATTTGTTATCCATGGTTTTATCTTTTTATGATTTTTTTGTTTAATTTTTTTTACAATTTTACATGATTCAATACTATTGAGATATTTGTCATAGAACTTTTGAGTTGCTATTTCAGGGTTATTTTCATTGAGAACACTTTCCCATATTAAAGCTTCAAATTTAGAAATTAGTTTGTCAGTATCAATTTTAGTTATAGTTGTATAGGTAGTTAGAGATTTGTTTTATTTATTGAAAGAGGTTTTGAAATATTTATCATAACCGGATCATGATCGGTTAAATCGTAGTTTATCACATATGAGTTGAATTTTAATTTTTCGGTTTTAATATTGTTTCTTAAAAATATGTGATCCAAACAGGTTTTACTCTGAGCCCGTGTTATTGTATTTATATAAGACAAGAAGCCATATGAGTGAAGAGTTGCTTCGTAGTTATTTGTGATATGATTTTTTCCGTCCAGGAGATCGATATTAATGTCTCCTATAAACATTTCAATACTTTTGTTTAGGTGAGTGGGGATGTAATGTTCTATGCAGGTAACATTTGTACAATTCTTGGCAATTGCAGGGGTTATATGTATGCTGATGACACACAAATTATATTTACTGTTTCGGAATTTAATGAAGTACTTACAAACGAATTCATTAATTAAGAATTACTAAAAGTAGTCTCGTTTTCGAAAAGGCATCAGCTTAATATTAATCCTACAAAAACATAAATATTAGTATTCGGCAAGGATAAAAAGAAAATTTCAAGTCAATTATCGATAAGTATTGATGGCATTAATGTTCCTTGTGTTGATGTTGCTAGAAATCTGGGTCTTCAGCTAGATACGGATTTAAGATTTAGAATACACGTCAATAACTGTATAAGAAAAGCATACGCAAATTTGAAAATGCTTTTTCCTCATCGTCATATACTAGGTCAAAAAACAAAAATTTTCTTGTGTTCTAAGTCATTTTAATTAATGTGATGCCATTTGCGGTCCTTGCATAGATAACTTAGATGCCAATCGAATTCAAAGAGCTCAAAATTCTTGTCTTCGTTACATATACGGTATTAGAAAATACGAAAGGATCAGTTATAAATTAAAGGAAGCTAATTGGCTAAATATGGAAAGTAGAAGGCATCTTCATATGGTAACATTTTTTCATAAAATAATAATATTTAAATCTCCACCCTATTTATATAATAAAATTACATTTCTCAGCGATGTGCACAATGTGCATACTAGATTTAGGGGGCATATCTCACCTCCTCACCATCGGACCTCTAAGTTCCAGGCATCATTTTCTTATATGGTCTTTAAACTTTACAACCAGGTTCCTTCGCATCTAAAGCATATTACAGTAGGTACATTTAGGGAAAAATATAATTACTTACGTACAGGCATTTGAGAATATTTAATTATGTTTAATTAAAGTTAATTATATTTAATTGTATTTAATTAAATTAAGTAGTATACAATGCGATATTAATTGATAAAAATAATTCAAGGGATAGCACTTTGCATCAGCTCTTCTGTCTCTTTTTTGTAGCATGATTTTATTTTAATGTGAAATATGTAATTTTTTTATTTATCAATATTCTACAAATAAACGTTATTATTATTATTATTATTATTATTATTTTTATTATTATATGTGGTGGAAGCTGATGGTAGTAATAAAACACTGAGTGAAAAAGTAAAGATTATGTTAACCATTTGAAATTACAATATTAATTAACAGCGAACTTCTTCTAACGATCAACACCAGTGTTGCCAGATGAAAAAATAAAATATATGGTATCCGACACTTAAAAAAATGACAAAAAATGGTATCTTGAATAAACTTGATATCACCAAATAATGAAGTTTTACGCACATATTGAACAAATAAAAATTAAAATAAGTACAAAGAATCCAAACCCAGACAGCACACCAAATCCTTTGAATATCTACTGAACATCCCAATATCCACTGAATGTCCAGTCCATGGTAGATATATATTTTATATCCATGAGATGTAATTTATAGACATGCAAATGTCCATAAATAATAGTAATTATATAGCAAATTATTAAAAAATTACGCCATTGTGGCTAATAGTACCGTTCAGATATTTAAAATTAATTTTTTTAAGGTGTATTCAATATCCCATAAACCCACTAAATATATCAAAGTCTAGGCGCGAACGCAAAACGTGTGTCTTTTTATCCAACTGTTGCAGCAACGTTGGCATCGGTGCGGTATCTACCTGTCTTTTCTTTCATCAATCTATCAATGATGAACTAACAGCGCTGTCTTTTTATGCAACGTTGATGCAATCGATGCAATCGATACAATCGATGCAACACCATTCCATCATTTCAATGTACGGTTTTTCCGATTAGATGTGACAACTGACAGCTATGGATTGCGGGAATTAATTAATTAATCAGAATTAAGGAGTTTATTAATTATTTAATTTTTTTTTGTGGGAAAACCAAAAAAATGAGATTTTAAAAATATATACGTACAAATTAAAGTAAATAGGTACATTCAAATAAAATTATAAACACAAATTTTAATCCAAAATGTCAACTGTTATTTATTTCAACGGTCAACCATACATAAATCGAATCCAACAAAAGGCGTTCTAGGCCGCATCGGCGAAAAAACGATTCCAACAAACCGGTGGAAAAAAAGACACACGTAAACCATCGTGGATATCCACTAGATGTTATTGGATTCTGCTTACTAAGTATAGATAGCAATACCACTATCGCATCTACTCATGCTCGACCCGCCGTAATAGAGTTCGATCGAAATTTTTGTCCTACAGACTCCATTAGAGACTGGAGTCGAGAATTTCCATTTATTGCTAAAGAGTCCTAATAAGGATGACTTTCTCCTTAGTGGGCAAAGTCAAAGGCAGAGTGTTGAAAATATTTTTTATATCTGCTCTTTTCTTTCGACGTTATTCAATAATCATTGGTTACTTACTTATGAACCTCTACTAAAGATACCCATAAAATATTTTGTTGAATATCCGAATATCTTCTATATCCTGGGATATAGACGGACATTTGGTTGGATATCCATATTGGATATATTGAATATCCACAAAAGATATTCTGTGGATATCTCTGGGAGTTGGTGTGTTGTCTGGGAAGATGTTACGTGTATTTATGTTTTTGTTTATTCTCATTTTTCCGTCTGATTTTATTGAATAAAAAAAAATGGTATCTTGAATAAACTTGATAACACCAAATAATGAAGTTTTACACACATATTGAACAAATAAAAATCAAAATAAGTACAAAAAATCCAAATATGTGACGTGTATTTATGTTTTTGTTTATTCTCATTTTTCCGTCTGATTTTAGTGATTTTTTTGTTGGCTTTGGCTTTTCATTTTCAACTGAACATCTTTCGCTACAACGTCATCGATTTTTTTTAAATAGACCACATATTTTTCTCTTCATTTTTGAATTCCCCGATAATAGATACATTTTTGTAATCGTCTATTATTGGACGTGTTTTAGTAGAGATGTGAAGCCATTTTTGTTACTTGTTAGTAGAGTAGAGATATGTAGAGTGCTATGTTTTACTCCTATTATTATTATAAATGATATAAAAGTTAAAAATATGGTAGTAAAATGGTATCAATAGCCAAAAAATGGTAAAAAATGGAAAATGGTATCTTCAAAAACTTGCAGGCATCGTAGTAGAAAATATGGTATAAATACCATAAAAATAGTATACCTGGCAACACTGATCAACACCATCAACGGCGATCAACTGTCAGCCTTACAGTGTTACCAACTGTTAAGACTAAAAAGGATCTAAGAACGTTGCAGTACCAACATAAATATATAATTTTGATTGTTACAACATCAGTATAAAAAAAGCCGGAAAAATGATTTTTTTTTAATTTTCGGGTGCAAATCCATCCTTGCTACAAATTTTTATATTTGAGAATTTTTCACCCCTCTAGCCTAGCCTTTCAACCCTCCAAAGTGATAAAAATAGGTAGGGGATCCCTGAAAACGGTGGGCGAAGGGGGAAATTTGTATCTTAAGATATGATGGATGTATAAAAAACTTCTAATTTTTTAACACTTAACAACGGTCTTTCTATTTTTTTTTTTTTAGATACAATGAATCGTTCGAAACTACATTATCTTCGGCCTCTTCCAAAAACTCGAAAAACTTTTCGATGAAGCTCCCCAGCAACAACAACAAAACGCCTACCAGACGCTCCACCAAATCCGATCAGAACATTTTCAAATCGTTCACGGCTTCGAGCGCGACCCCTTTCCCGCTCAGCGACAAAGAGTACGAACATTCCTTGGAGTCTAACAAATCCAAAATTATCAATACCCTCGAACAGTTCACAGATATTTGCTCCTCGCAGCTGTTGGACACCTTCAATTTAAAAGATTCCAAGGAGTCGTCGAACGTATCGACGTTACCTCTGAGCGATAAAGATTGCAATACGAAAGCCAGAACCGGTAAGGTAATCGTAAACGAGTCGGATTTGTATTCACCACGGCTAAAGACGAAAGATAACACGTTTACGCCGAGAAAATTGAGGCAAAATAATCCTGAGAGTGCCGGTGATTATTTTTCGCAACTGGTACCACAACACCAGTCGCAAAAACTGTTTAAGACTGAGATGGAGAGTTCGCAGCAAACCATTATTGAAAACAATGAGAATATAGAGTACGAAGACGAACAATTAGAGCAGGAAAGATTTCGCTGTGAGATAGAAGCTCCACGGCCCCAGCACCATCAAATCCTATCCCAAAACAAACCGTTAACCTTCGACCGTCCTAACAACGAAATCAGAACCAGATCCGAGGAGTACATCAACTCAAAAATACGGGAAAACTATCCAGTATATTCAGAATTCGAGCCATCTACCAGCAGCAGTAGCAGGTACTCTTTAAATATAATAATTAAAACATCAACTCTTTCAATCGTAACCTTTATGAAAATTTTGGGTCGTAAATATCCAAAGGGTGACATCCCAACTATGAATCTACTATGTAAAAGACGTTCGTTGAAATAATCAATAAATTTATTGGCGATATCACAGGAATAGTTGGCGGGAATATGAGTCTGAGTTTCTATTATCGCGAAGGTTACAATTTTAGGTATACCCAACTAACTAAAAAAAATACACCACAGGTACTTTATGGCGCCAACTATGGGTAGCAGAGAGTACATCGAATACGATACTGGTGCCGCCAGCGCCGGTTTGAATTCCAGTTTTAGACCTGTGGCGATGGAGCGGAGCGCGCCAAAACCCAGCATGCACTATTCCCATTATGTAGATCCCGTCAATTTCGGTTACCACCCGAGTTACGGGCAGTACGTGCGACCGCCCTGTTGCGAGTACCCCAAGGTCCTGCATAGGAATCTACCCGTTGGGTACGTGGAGTTGCCGCCGGTCGACCCCAATTTGATTGCCACCAGATGCCCTCCTCCCGGTTATCAGGTCAGTTATTTTGAAAAAAATCTGATTACTTCCGTATTTAACATACCCAAACACAAAAAGTTATATAATGGTTATACCGACGTTGCAACAACTTACGTATTTTAATAATTGCCTAATATTATACAGGGTGCCCAGATAGCACAGGACGTCCCATGGACGTCCTGATTTGGTCCCTTGTTGGTCCGGTTGGTCCCGGACCTAAATAGGACGTCCACTGGACTTCCGATTACAGTTAACACTAGGACGTCCTTAGAAGGACGTCCTCTGGACGTCCTATTTTGGTCCCGTTTCGACAAAGCGTTTAGTTTTCGGTCCGAGTCCGGGACGTTAATGGGACGTCCAAGGGACGTCTATGGGACTTTCTATGCACTAGCATCGTTGGTCTTTGAATCGATAACTTGAAATTCAACGTTTTGATTTTGCAAGAGTATGAGGACAGAAAACCTAACCTATCATTTATTTTCAAATGAACAACAATAGCTACAATTTTCGGCATTCAATAATTAACTTAAATAAGTGAGTTAGATTAACGAAGAAAAAAGGTTATATAGTGTTATTTGTTATTTTTTTGATGTTGGTGGTAAAGTATGGTTATAAAGTGAAGTGAGTGTTTTGTGTTGATGTGAGAATAAGTGATGTGTATTGTCGGTAGCCGCTGGCGGAAAGAAAATACCTTAATGGCGGAAAGTTGGAACAAAACTAATTTGGACAAAATTATAATACTCAGTTTTGTCGACACAAGCTATAAGTAGGACCCAAGGTTTCATCTTGCCAGCGCTGTGTGTTAAATTTAATTAATTCCTGTTTTTTTTTTGTAAACTGAAAACCTTTAACTCTAGCTAGGTTTTTTAGGATAAAAGTTGTTAAATAAAGCTCTTTTATTGTTAACATTTTTGTTATTATTACCCTTTATGGATTATGATCAAATATCGTCCCTCGGACGTCTGATTTACGTCCCTAGGACGTCCCGCAAAGGTCCCTATGACATCCTTTTGGGATGTCCCAGGGACGTCCCTAAGGGACGTCCCTAAGATGGACAGATGGGACGTCCGATTGACGTCCCGGTACCAAAATAGGACGTCCCTCGGACGTCCTTTATGTCCCTAAAGGACGTCTTTTAGACGGCCATAAGACGTCCGTGTGCTATGTGGGTGGCCATTTGAAAACCAAATTTTCAGCACCCCAGCTCATTTACGAAAAAACTCTTGAAACCGTCAATTTTTGATTTTAAGGGGAAACATTTTTTTGCCAGTTACACCCCCCGAACGGAAACCCTCTAGCGGGAGTGAGACTCCCCCTAAAATCTTAAGCGGAAAGAGGGGTCGAATGATATCTTATTTTGAAGGTATTTTCCTAGATTATAAAAAATTTGAGTTTAACTAGTTAAGGAGGTCCTTTCGCCACCCCTTTCGCCACCAATGTTAAATAAAAAATATTAGATTATGACTAAAATTTATTTTTTTTTTCTAATAGTTGAAGTCCTTATTTATCTAATGTTGAACTTTTAACTATACCTTACCGTGCAAATTTTTGAGAATTTTTTTTTAAATGTGAGTATTTGTACAGTGTCTTATGAGAAAATAAGACCTCAACAACAATTCTCGAATTATATTATTATTTATTGATTAGATGGAGTAGAAAAAATTAAAAATAGGGTTTTTGAAATATTTAGGTTTTGTTTTTTACAATAAAATATATAGGTTACCTTGGAATTTATTGAGAAATTAAATTAAAAAAAAAATTGAAGTAACCTAGTTGAAAATTTTTTGTGATTTTTTAATATTAATTTCTCAATAAATTCCACGGTAACCTATATATTTTATTGTAAAAAACAAAACCTAAATATTTCAAAAACCTTATTTTTAGTTTTTTTTCTACTCCATCTAATCAATAAATAATAGTAAAATTAATTATAATTCGAAAATTGTTGTTGAAGTCTTACTTTCTCGTAAGACACTGTACAAACACACACATTTTAAAACAAAAAAATTCTCAAAAATTTGCACGGTAAGGTATAGTCACGTATAGTTAAAAGTTCACTATTAGATAAATAAGGACTTCTACTATTAGAAAAAAATTAATTTTAGTCATAATCTAATATTTTTTATTTAACATTGGTGGCGAAAGGACCTCCTTAATTATTATACAATAATTTAAATTAAAATTGATTAATTTTTTTATTCGTTCAAAAAACTAAATTTTCAAATCTAATTACCACCACAGTGACCTCGAAAATCTTTTAAAAACACAGAAGTTCATTATTTATGTTTGTGAAGAATCAATTTATTTAAATAAAAGTATTCTCAATTCAGTAAAAAAAATTATAATAGTGTACACCAGGATCACCAATTATGAAAAGTTTTTTTTTTTAATAAAACTACTGTACTAGATGTACGAATTTACGAAACAAATTTATTTCTTGTATGATAAACAAAAAAGATATGTCCAAGAAAGTACCCTAAAATCATTTCCTCATTATGTCCCAACTGCTAAATTCGAAGATAATTATTAACTTAAAACATAAAATTCCTTACTAATTGTTTGTTATATTATTTTTTACTTATATAGGATATTGGCTGTACCTATGAGTTCATAGTTTAAAAAATGCTAATGGAAATATTTTTAAATATAATTCAAAATTTGACCTTGAAAAATCTATAATTGTCTACGCCTATGTCGTCTAAGAACGATTGATTTCCAGAGGTTTTGAAGTGACACTTAGAATTAATTAATATAATTATGAATAAAGACTGGACAATTTAATTTATTCTTATCAGCGAAGTAACGGTAAGAGCGGACCTTCGATTTGAATAATACATTCTGAATAAAACAAGTTATTTACTGAACTGGTCGACACAGTAGATAAGATATTGGATTTTTATCGCCCGGGCGTAACATTTGGGGCGGGCTTATTATTACATTTACATTGCAATAATTATTTTATTAAATTTTAGTTCAAATTTGGTTGGATATTATTATATAATTACAAATGATATTATTATTTATTTTTTTATTGTGTTGTGGGATAATGTTGTTGGCTTTTTCTGTTAATATATTATTGACTAATAAATATATCAACGAGGATACACCATCATTAGTTTTATGTTTAGAGTGTTCCAATATACACTCTTTATCCTAAAGTAGCAAATATACAATTATATACAATATATACAATACAAATTAATATCAATCTTCTTCATTTGAAAAATATGTTTGTATGACTGCATATTTTTCTAAATTGTCTTCAGTGAAATTACTTCTTTTAGAAGTCAATAAATCTTTAAACCTAGAAAACGATCGTTCTACGTCACAACTCGTTACAGGAGCAAATGAAAAATGTGGAACAAAATCACAATATTTTAAAGCAGTTTCATAATCGTTAAAATTGTTCAGGGAGATTTGTTTCAGAGTCTGTAAATTTGGATTTCTTTTAATAACACAATCTATTTTATGGTTAAATTTATCTTGTAAGGGCCACTTTACGTTTTTTAAGTGTAACAATGTCGATTCAAATTTTTCCATAGCAACCGATAATTGTAAGTTACGGGTTTCAAGGAATTTTATAGTTTCTGGGAGACACGAAAAATAAGTCGCAAGAAAATTTAACTCCGACTGCAAAGTTGTTTTTGTTATTAAACCTTTACACTGAGTGATAGAGAGAGCGTCCTCTGATAAGTTGGAAATAAATACTTTTAGTCTGTCGAAATGCTCCGAAAAAAAGAACACAGCCTGTAACCAAGTTCCCCATCGTGTAATAACTGGTTGTGGAGGTAGGGGGATATTCGGACATATTTCTTTATATAAAGAAACTCGGGACGGTGCTTTTAACAAAATTTTTTTAAAACAGCTAATCAACGAATTAATGTCTGAAAAGCTGTCACGGATAAACTCACAAACTCGGTGTAACGCGTGAGCAAGGCAAGTTACATGCAGCATGTTTGGAAAATGTTCTTGTAATAGTTTCCCTGTTTTCAACATTACACTTGCCGCGTCTGAAATAAACAATAAAACTTTTGAAACGTCATTATCAATTACATTGTTCAATCCACGTTTCACTATTTCATAAATCATTTCAGCGTTCACAGTTTCACGAAACACACTAGAAACTAAATACTGTTGTGAAGTATTTTCAGCACTTAATAATCCTACAACAACATTAACAACACATCTACCCTTTATGTCAGTCGTTTCATCTGCACTAACCCAAATATATTTGCTGGAAATTTTCGTTTTTATTGCCGTCATTGCTTTATCGTACTGATTTTGAATATAATGTTTTCTAATTGTGGATTCATCCGGTATTTTACGTTTAGTATATTTACAAAGAAAATTTTTGAAAATTGTATTATTTAATTTTGTTAATGGAATATTTGCAGAAACAAATGCGTTGCATAAATCTTCATAAAAGATTTTGTCTGGACATCCCTCTAAAGATTGCATGTGTTTTTGTGTTTTCACATGTTGTGTCATACTTGACTTTCCATTAAAAACTAACACCTGATCACAATTGCGGCAGTATAATTTGTTGTCATTAAAACGACGAAAACAATCAAAGTCCGATAATAAATTTTCCATATTTACGTTTCCAGTTTCTATCACTTTTCCCTTTGAACTAAACAAATATACTCATTGGAAAAATCTAGTGATATTTTTACAAGACACTTTCTTCTCAAATCTCCTGTTTATCGACTCTTTGTTATCTTTTTACATTTTTTCAACCAACAGATACCTATATAGAGTGAGCAATTGAATTAATACATACATTACAGAAATTTAACAGACATTTATTTTATTGTCTCATCGTGTATAAGTACCATAATATCCACAGGAAATAAAAACATAAATGTTTTGTTACAAAAAATCGGTATGTACGGTATCGATAAAAGCCAAAATATTCATAAATATAATATAAGGATTGACTTTATTTGAATAAAAATATCACCGGCAACTAACCGACAATGGATCGAGAAAGTATAAGACAACATATGATGGGCCTATTTGACATTCATTTTAGGCCCTCTCTACAGCGTCTTAGTCCAAACGCTCGTAGAGTCCTAATATTTGGCCCCGATGCAATTTCTCCAACAATGAATCGGGACCAGCTAAGGCTAGAAATTTCCAATTTTCTGGAGGAAATAACAAATTCGGGGGAGGCAGCTGGGGTCCTCGATCCTCATTTTAGGCAGGAGAGTAGTGTACCACGCCAAAATATTGAGGAATAGATATTTTGTAATTATATAAGAGATAATAATAAAAAAAATATCATACAGAATATCGTTTACATTACTACACCTTAAACTCGCTTATGAAAAGTTTAACATCTTCATCAAAAAAGTTATTTTTTTTAAGGAAAATTTCTCAGGCCACAAATTAAAGGATCTGAGGTTACTAAAAACTTTTGTAAAATATCCTACATATCCTCGGCGTTGGTGAGAAGAAAACATTAAATTTGTTTAATGAAAATGATTCAAAAGACAAAGAATATAGGTACACGATAAAAAAAAATCTCACTTTTTTGTATTAGTTTTAATGTCTATGTATATATCAGTACACTTTTTTTATCTTGTTTTAATAAAAAAAAGAGGTTTGTCCTGATAGTATTAGAATCTGCCGCACTGTCTGCCGTCTTAAATAGCGAACCCAGAATGAGACGCCTATGTGATTAAAACCAATTATTTGAACGCGATTAAAATGTCCGGTCTTTAATTATGAATCACGCTTGTCAATCACTTTTTATGTTATATCATAGTTATTCTTAAAATAAAGAATTTTAAATAAGTACAGTCCACAGTCAATGCTCTACGATCAACAATAATTCCCTCACCGTTTTGAAACAGTGTGATTGGAGCGAAATTAAAAGGCCTATATGTTTTGTTAAAAATAATTTGACAAGTTTTTTAAAGCCATTTTCGACTTTCTTTTGAGAATTAGCTAACTATATTATGTATTACGAAACCGACAAAAAAAGACGATTAAAACATTAGGGGTTCCGATTCGGTTCTGAAAAATTATTATAAGATAAAATAATGGTTCAGTTTCGGTCCACTAAAAACTATCGGTTCCGGTTCGGTTTTCTGTTTTTAACGATACGGTCCGGGCCCCTGGTCAATATGTTCTGTTCGTACAATTCTTTCTTACTTTTGATATAGTCTTTCCTATTTTTCGTCAATTCTTTACGTTCTGTCCAAGCTTACCAGTTTGTTTTTTAATAGTTCTTTGATATTTTATTTCCTTGTTGACCATTCTTATAGATTCTGGCTCATATAGTTCCTGAAGTTAGATTGACAGCTCATTTATTGTCAAATGTAAATGTGTTCTTTTTACAGCCAGAAGCGATTCAGATGACCCCGTTCAAGAGAAGGCTTTCAGAAGAGGAGTACCCCGAAAACGTGGGACAAGAGTTGTCGAGGACCAACCCGATGGTGTCGACTAGACACGTTTACGCCGATACCATAGAACATGATTTGAACAGTTCTTTCGCGATGAGACATCCCTCGTATCCCGTTCCATATCAGGGACAAAATTATCCATGTTCCGTTTCGTATGGGTCGAACGCGGGGTACGCGTTTTCTTATTCCAGGGAACGGCCCCATCCCTACGGGTACGTAGCTGAAACTCCGGGATTTCCTATAGTTGATAAAGACTATGTTATGAATAAATATTGGGGTTCGCTAAATACCCAACAATAGTTATAAATTTAATTTTTATTTGAAGTTTTTCTAATTTATTTGGAGTTTATAATTGTTAACTTAATTAAAATTACCGTTAAGAATAAATAAATTTATTATTGTACCTAGGTACTAAATTGATTATCAACTGTGTGTTGTTTTAATTAATATATAATTATTTTCGTATACTTTGTTTTATTTTTTTTTTTTTGTAGAAATTTTGCATGCAGGATTTAAATAATTTAGTATTATTAGTTTTAATTCAGTACAGAATATAGGAGTTCAACACAAATTTTAATTCATATTATATACAGGTTCGGTTTAAATTTATCATTGGTAGGTATAGGGCAAAATTATATGAAGCGAGAACAAGAGTATGAAAGCAGAACTTGGCGTTGGCAATCCCACTATTCTTCGCGACGTCGACCAATCTTATCCGTTGACTCCGACAGCGTCCCAAAAACCAAACAAAATCAGTCTAGATTACATTGAGTCCATACCACGTGAAAGGTAAAATAGATTTTGGTTTTCGTTTAAAATAACTAGAAATTAATATGCCGAACGTTATTTATACCACTCGTGAAAAAATACAAATAGTAAAGTGTTACGTACCATACAGATCATTCCATCGGTTCAAAATAATATAAATTTATTTGCAGTTGCATTTGAAAATGGGCCAATTCCTACAGATAATGCAGTTCGTGGAATTATAGCAAAATTTGATAATTTTGGTTGCGTTACTAATTGTAAAAAGTGTCCCTCTAGACAACCACGTCGAAATCGATCAGTTGACAGAAGAACGGGAAATTAGGGAAACAAGTAAGTAGATACATTAGTTGAAGCCCCTCCCTTCTTCAAGTAGACAAATTGCCGCTGAAGTTGACTTCAGAGAGAGAGAGAGAGAGAGAGAGAGAGAGAGAGAGAGAGAGAGAGAGAGAGAGAGAGAGAGAGAGAGAGAGAGAGAGAGAGAGAGAGAGAGAGAGAGAGAGACAAGTACGAAATATTTTAAAAAGAAACGGGTATTCCTGTTTTAAGGTAGGTACATACCACTCAAGAAATATTTCCTGAAGACCATTTTAAACGGATGGAGCTTTGCCAGATAATGGGGTCTATTCTGTAACAATTCCTTTATATTTAACGGCCTTTAAAAATATTTTCTTCTTTACTTCTGTCATTATTTAAACGGATCTTTAAAATACATTAGAGGACTATCTTAAAGAAATCTGTTTAAATAATGACAGAAGTAAATTAACGAATACAAATATACTTTTAAAGGCCGCCAATATTTTTAAAGGCCGTTAAATATAAAGGAATTGTTACAGAATAGATCCCAATGACGGAAAGAACAAATTAAAATATTAATGTTTTGAAAAATATTTTATTTACAATGGAGTCTTCCTTCACTCTTCATAGGAAATATAATCCAGCCAATAAATAAGTTTAAAGATATTTTAAGAGATAAATTAATATATTTCATTTTATATAAATTATCGTAAAATACTTATGCAAATGCTATATTTAAGCATATTACATTACTGAACCTCGTAAAATAAAATTAATATCCTGTAGCTGTGCTGTGAGGAACGACTCCCCACTAATCAATTCATCACAAAGTGGGATTCAGCTAGTGCTTGCTTTTTTTGATGTCGCTATTCCTCTTGTTAATTCGCTATACCCATTAAAAATGTAAGCCAAATTTGTATATAGGATCTTTCCAAATAAGTCTGCGACACTTGCAAGCTTTTTCATAGACCTTCGAGATAAAGTGCCGAAATCTCGTTCAATAGCGTACTTTATTAAATTAGCTTGCGATATTTACTTAGCCATGTAGTCACTAACTGACCATTAATAATGCCCTCCGTACGTGACGGCAGCGCCAACTAAAATATGTATTAAAGGGCAATTTTGCGTGTATTGACAGTATCATTTTATTAGAATTCGTAATTAAAAATGTACCTATTTTTTGGTTTTAATAAAAGTATATTGATTTATAAAAGTGAAAAGATTCATTTAGGTATTATTATATATTTTTATTACTTTAGCTAAAGAATAGTATATTTAATAAAAAAAATTATTAAAACATGTGCACAGAATAAGTAATTAGGTAACAGTATTTACGAGGAAGTGTATATAAAGTTGGCTAATGAAGTTAAAGGTTTATATCAAACGTAGATTCAAAATTTATTACTAAAAAAATAGTTGCGTAATATTTTCGGATGTAATTTATACTTGTTTCCTTCATTTTCAGTTTGATAGAAAACATAATTATTAGGAACTCGCTCTGCTCGTCCCGCAAATATTTACTCGTTATATAAAATAAGGCATTTCGCAACTGGTTTCATAAATAGCTATTGTCGATTAAACAATTATGTTAATAGCCATAGGAATGGCGTAGTGACTTTGAAAGTTGGCACTGCTGACAGATGCCATTCGATGAGACGATATTTGTAAGAAAACGATGGTTTATGCGATAATTTAATTATGATGTAATTTTGGCTTCACTGACAAAGTGATTTTTTAAGTGTTTTTGATTTTGTTTATCGTTTTTTAAATTTTATAGATAGTCTAAAATCCGAAGTAAGGTCGACCTTCGCCCATCTGTTTAACGGATGAAAGTTTTCTTTTATTAAATAAAATATGTTTGTAAATATACCGCAAATAGGTTGCCTAAGAAAATACGGTCAAGACTATTTATTTTCTTAAAGTAAAAAAAAACGACACCCTGAAAAGTATTCCTGATACTGCGACTATGCTCACCGCAGGATGATTAAAGATTACAAGTATTACAAATTAAAAATTAAAAAAAAAACCGACTTCAAAAACGTGCAGATGCCATCACCACATCTTAACCAAATTTATATAAGACCACCCCTGAGGCACCCCCTTACTAACAAAAAAAGAATCGTATAAATCGGACGAGGTGGTAAAGCATTATCGCTAAACATACATAAAAAATGAAGAGTTTGAGGATTTTCTCATGGATACAATTATTAGATTTTGACCAAATTTATATGGGACCACCCCTAAAGTAGCCCCTTTCTAACGAAAAAATAATTATTGAAATCGGACACCGTGTTAAAAAATTATCGCTGAACATACATAAAAAATGAAGAGTTTGAGGATTTTCTCATGGACCCAATTATTAGATTTTGACTAAATTTATATGGGACCACTCCTGAAATACCCCCTTTCTAACAAAAAAAGAATTATTGAAATCGGACACCGTGTTAAAGAATAATCGCTGAACATACATATAAAAAAAAAACCTCCTTTTTTGAAGTCGGTTAACAAAACTAACCCCAGTAACCTACACTAGTGCCCTTTTACGGCAAATCAATTACTAACTACAAAAAGTTTATATTCACTAGGTAGGATTCCCCACTCAACCATTCACTGTTGGGTTCTAATTAACAGTGCTGTTCCTAAAATGGCGCAAGGAAACTGTAACAAGGCCTGTCTGTAGGGGTGTAGGAATATTAGAGTACTAATACTTCTGCACTATGGAGTATTAGACTACTAGTACAATCCACAACCTACATAGAACTCTAGGCTAATGACCTTAGATGTTGAAGCCGTACACCAAAGAAGGTTAAAAAAAAATTTGGCGTTTTTCTCTTTATCCGTTTTTGAGTTATCTTCAAAATTCGAAATTTGCACTTTTCCTCAAATATCTCGAATAGGGAAATCATGTATAGGACTAAAATTATAGAGAATTGCATCACAAGCAACTTTTATCATGATTCCTATACTTTCCTTATCTGTATACAGAAAGGAAAAAATGGTCTTGACCGTATTTTCTTAGGCAACCTATTTGCGGTACGTAATAAATTTACAGGAGAAGCAAAAAACCGTTTCATTTAGATATTAGAAAAAAAAATTAATTATATCATTAGGTCTTTATTAAAAGCTTTCTTTTTTTTTCTTCCAATATCTAAATGAAACGGATTTTTTGCTTCTCCTGTAAAATTATTACTTATGGAGTTAGAAGGTTTACATGTTGAGGTAAAGATATTTTATTTAATAATAAAAAAAAATTCATCCGGTAAACAGATGGGTGAAGGTCGACCTTACTTCGAATATTGTACTAAAATATATTCCTAAAGTAGATAACATGCATCAAATATACAATCATTTAGTTACCAATTACATATATTTCAACTATTTTTTATGACCTGTAAAAACGTATACCTGTGTCAAATTCAATGATGTTTTGTTGGAAGTTAATTGTCAGTGCAATCAAAATTGCGTGACACTAATGTGGCGTACTGCAGTAATTGAAAATAAATCAAGAAATATTTAATGATGGAACAACTGGGGAGGACCGAAGAATATAGAAAAGCCTACTCTTCTTTGCCTTTTATTTGTCCCGCACTTTGGCAGACATCAGAATCTGAAAACTATTTAAAAGCCAGTCTACATTGGCTTTAAACTGGGCTGGTATGTATAAAATACATATTATATTGAAATAAAACCTTAGAAACTAATTCATATCAATTTTTAGGTAAACTGGTTATGTAAAAAAAATATTTACCGATTACTTATGTTGTTCACAAGAAGAAATTTTAAAATATCAAATTTAAAATTAAATAAAAGACGTTCTTAAAACTAATAAATTGAATTTAATATTAATTTAAATATTAATAAAAAAGAATATGGAAACTTAACACAGGGGAAATAATAAGCATTTTAAATAACACCAACTGCATCTTTAATTATAGGAATAATTTGCTTCCTAGACAACTTTACATTTTCTTGCCTAAGGCACTTGATATCCTTATAATCAGTCTGTACTTCTCTAAAACCAAAATCGTAACCTTTATGTTTCTGACTGTCCAAAAGTAATCCCAACAGCACATCACTTAACTTGTTCCCCTCATTTTTAGAAAATATGGCGACATCTCTTCTAATGCCGATCGATGCATCTAACCCAATCACAACAACAAGAGAGGCATTATGTTCTTCTGAAAAGCTCGTCAATGTATCATATGATTCCTTGAGTTTAAGAAAATCTTCAACTAACATAGGTAGGCCAGGGACAGGAATATTATCCACAATTTTAAGATCCTTCATTAATATTTGTTTTGGAGTTAAATGCGATACGTCGTTGTGGGCTTTCCACAGTTTATCGAAAAGCGTTTTTCTATCGTCGGAGAAGCTGAATTTATTTTCTAATTTGCCGGCAAC